CTTTCGTTGTTGTCGTTGTTGTTTGCTTATTGAAATTTTTAATTTTCTAATTAATGTTTTCAGGCGCTACTGTTTTCACATCAACAAATGGCATGTCTGAGATCTTTATTCTTCTTATAAAAAATTGACAACATTAAAATGACCGAGATAATGTAGACAACCCAAAATTCAAATATACCGGATTCAATCACTGACATCAGAATTCGTCTAAAACAATAAATTTTAACAGTGAAGACTTCTTGTTTCTAGAGTGACCACTCACCTCCTCTTTGACCTCCTTTTTCACTTCTTTCTCCTTCTTTTCCTTGGGTCTCAGTGGCTTGTCATCATCGTCGTCAGAATCATCGCTGTCACTGATATATTCCTTGGATTTTGCTTTGGATGGTGAGCTAAACACAGGCACAAGTTTTACGTGATCTAGTAGGATCAAGGAAAAACGGAAAAATGACATACGGTCCAGTGGATTTCTTGGAAGTAGTTTCTGAAGAAGGACGCCTTAGCACCTGTCTTCTTGAATTCTTTCATCTCAGCATCGTATCGCTCTTTGTCCGCAGCTGCTTTCTTTTCCCATGGCTGAAATCAACGTTGTAGGTTTGCTTAGGGGGTGCTTACAACGGAAACGTACCGCTTTGGATTCTGCATCCATAGCCTTCCACATCTCTCCAGCTCGCTTCGCAACGTCAGCTACAGAATCACCTTCCTAAAAATACATGAAGTACAACTTCTTCATGCATCCTATGAAGACTGCAACGAGCCACTAACCTTCTTGATCTTTGCTCTGTTTTCGTTGAGCCAGTGGAAGTACGCAGATTGTGCTCTCTTCGGAGCGTTGGGATCTTTCTCCTTCTTCTGTTTTTTCTTACCCTCACCCTTTTCTTTCTTTTCCTTTTTCTCTCTTGGTTGTTTAGCTTCCTTCTCCTTCTGGAAAATACAATGCATTGTCATTCAACAAAAAAAAGGAACTGACACACCTTTTTCTTCTTCTTAGGTGATCCTTCATCATCTGAACCACCGGAGCCACTTTCATCACTGGACCCCGCATCGGAGTCAAATTCTTCATCCGGTTCTGAGCCACTTCCCTCACTTGATTCGCGATTTTGTTTACGTTTCTTAATATCTTCATCGAGGTCGTAGTCATCGTCCTCAGAATCCGAGTCATCATCAGAATCCGCGCCAGCACGCTCCTTTCCTTCTGCTTTCACTGTCTCCTTGTATGGGTCGATCTCATCATCCGAACCAGCAAATCGATCCTCAGCATAATTTTTGTCCTACAATGTAACAGTAGGAATATTCGTGCCGATTCACTTGATTTCTGGAAGAAGCGACGAAAGTATAAACTCACCATCTTTTTAGCATTACGAATGCGCAAATGTTTGTTCTGTACATAATCGTATAGCTTGTTGTACTCCTCCCTGAAATGTTTGGTAGTTATAAAAGTGAAAGGAGTGAAGTCTTCGTCGCTGATCAATCACTTTTTTGGAAGCGCCACGCATGGTACTTCCACGAATTCTAGTGGATTATTGAATGCGATGCGGCCTATACAGACTTGTGGGGTAAGCCGATGTAAAAGTCAGTTTTTCAATCCTCCCTGGCAAGTTTACTACCAGTTTACTGTCTCCGGAGGGTAGAGCTGATCCGGTATTTGACCATCGGACCTTGCACGTGGTAAGCGTGCCACTTGCCACAACACCACCTCCACCCCAAGAAATTTGGATGCAAAATAATTAAAACTACTCACTTCTCGACGCTGTTGAACACCAACACCTGACCAGCCTTCAGCTCGATTTCAAAATCGAATGAACGTGTAGAGACATCAGATCGTGCGAAGTGAACTGATGCAACCTACAAGGAGCAAAGAGAGGAAACGTATTAACTTCACTGAACAACTGAGAATTTTGACAAAAACACTAACCTCTTCAAATCGAA